CCATGGAATTCCCTCAACTACAGCATTGTTCTGTGTCATGATTGAAATTCCAGTTTGCAGACAAGACAGATGGCAACCTTGATGATAATTAAAAAAAAACTAAAATATAGCCATGTCAAACCGTGGCAATTGAGGAAATTCAACCAAAGAGCTTAATTTGTGCAAGGTAGGCGCAAAATAAAGGGCCCCCTGGGTATGAATTGCTTTGCACGGCTAGTGAAAGCTCTCTGTGTTCTCAGAGGCACGGCAACAAAGAGGTGGTCCCTGGGTCTCCCCTACACACTACACATTTAACATACCACATCCAGCACACCGTGCCACTTGTCAGCAGCAAAATGACCCTGGAGAAAGCCCACCCCCAGTGGTTCAGGATTAACTATTCTGGGAGCGTGAATACCATTCACTACCTTTTGAGTGACTTTAATGCTCGAACCAGTGGTTTGCACAAACTGAAGTTGTTCAGTTGCCCACAAAACATGAGGAGGGTTGGCACAGACTTTCCCACAGTTCTTGATCAATATGTCAGCATCCTGACCTCAAAGGGCAGGAGCTGAGAGTGACAGAGAATTAGCCAGGCACCTCATTAAACCTGTGGTGCTGTTTTGAAGATTGCCAGGAGAGACGCCTCTTGGAGACCATTCTAGGACTTACTTTTCACCCAGAGAAGAACTGCAGAGCCTTAAAGTCTGGGTGGATGTAGTTACTAGTGTGTATGCTCCTTAGGTTTAGTTTCATGAGTTAGGGTTAAAGAGTCTTTTTCTAATGTTAATTTCCTTGGGAGATTTTTCTTTTTCTATAAAAATCTGTGGTGTGGAAATGGAAATGGACCTTGGTATTTAACAAGTTTGACCAATGTTTTTAAGTACCTGTTTTACAGTAGTTATGTTACACCTGTTTCTGTGTTTAAAGACCTTATTAAAGGGACACACAAGTAGAGTGAAGCTAAACATTCATGATTATATACTGTGAAAGTCCACAACTGTGGTTGACCTTGACTTTGAAAAACACTGATGGTAGAGGAGGACAGTCCCCAAATATCGGGCGGGTTACTTCCCCCGGGGGTGGTGGAAGGTTTTTGCTTCCTCTCTCCTCCCTTGCTCTACAGTGATACAGTGATGTGCTCCCCTCCCCCTGCTCTGGGCGCCCCCTTCCTTTACCTTGATTGCAGCATTTCCGACCCTGCATTATAATTGTGTATTTACATGTCTGTCATACCCACTAAATTGTGCGTGCCTCGAGAACTGGACTATGTCTTAATCATGCTTATAACTCCAGGGTAAGCAGAGCAGACAGTCAGTCAGTAATGAAGGCTTCAAAAGGCCTTCTTAGTTCTCTCTGGAAAACTGTCAGAGTGGAAAATTGCCACGTTCTCAAAGAAGGCTAAGATGGTTCTAGCTGTCCTGGGAGTTAAAGCCAGCGACTCTGCAGTGCCCACCCTCATGCAGTACTGCCACAACTTCTGTCTTCCATCCAAGCCAAGTTGTCCCGCGTGTTGCATTGCTAAGGAGGGGCATGGGCACTTTTGAGTCAAAATGATGGGAGTTAAGGAAGAGCCATGGGTAGTCACAGGTCTGCTTTAGTCTTAGGATAAAAATGAATGACAGGGAGAAAAAAAGATGATATTTATGTTCCCATCCATTCAGTACGCTCTTTAAATAAGCAAACATGATCAGAAGCAAAATATGCTTCAACCTTGGCTGCTGCCTTCATTGCTTGCACTTCTGGCTGTATGGCCTGGATGACAGGGGCCGGCTTTCTGTCACCTCTGTTGCTCTGCAGAGCCCAGCACACTGTGTGGACAGCACCACCCTATGCCACCAACAACCCCACGTCTCAGGTACTCCGAGCAAGCAGAGCAGCACACACAGGGACCAAGTGCAATGGTAAAATGATGGAAGGAAGGAATAATGACGGAGATAATTAGTGGTTAGTTCCATCACTGGTATTTCTCTGATTGTTTTTGTTTGTTTAAGTGGCAGATAATCAAAGCTGCAAAATTCAGACCCTGAAAAGCCAGTCATTTAAAGCATTATTTAGCAAACCAGATAAAGCACATTAACTGTGTGTGGCCACTTCTTATAATACAACCAGTGTCTGCTTTTCAGTGGTAAGTTTATAGATTTTGACAGTGGGCATTTACTATCGTTTTGGTTGAAATTGCTGTTAATTTTTAATTGTTCTGTACTTGTCCAATGGCATAAGGATGCTTTCTAAATTACTGAAAAATAACATAGCAAGAGAAGACCTGATGTTGGCATCCATTTACCGACGACAACCATCAAAAGATGACTTTTTAGATGGAAAAGACAAATAGAAATTAAATATAAAATTGCCTCGGGTTTATTTGGCACATCAAGAACTTTATTTTCTCCTCTAGAACTCAGATATAAGCATAAAAAGTCAGACTCAAACAGTTTTCAAAATATATTAAATGGAAACCTAGAAGCAGGACCTTCCCCAATAAGGGCGCCATATCTTACCTAAAATTTCCCCCATCGGATTCTAGAGACATCCAGTCTGGGCACCTTGCTGAATACTTAGTGTCCTAGAAAACAAAGGCCTGGTTTGGCTAAGCTCTGTGAACTGCTTTCCATGTTCACATACTAATATGAGGGCATATTAGATCGTTCAGTGTTGACATCTGTAAGTTCTGTTGATTCTGCTTTCAGAATCCACCCAGGACCAACCGCTCTGCGCCACCTGGATTATTGCAAAGGCCTCCGGACACTTCCTTGCCTCTGCCGTAGCCCTCTCTGCCTTATTCACCCAACAGCAGCCATCAGAGCATTTCACTCCTGAACGCGGATCTTTCCGGAAGCTTCCTCACCCATCTAGAGTGAGAGCCAGGTCCTCTCAGAGGCCGGCCTCTCTCCCCACACACCTCCCTCTCGCATCTGCTTTCCCTTCCCTACCCCACCTCATTCCACTACTCTCCAGCCTCCCTGATTGTTCCAGAACACGCCCATTACAGCCAGCGTCTGTTCCTCTGGGTCACCCAAGACTCACTCCTCCTTCACTTCTTTGTCCATCTTGTCATCTTCCAGTGAGACCATCTCTGCAGCCCATTTGAAAATTCCCCACAGGCACCAACACTCCTCATCACTGTTCTCGCTTTATTTTTCTCCCTAGTCCTTATCACCTCCTCAAATACTGCAAACTGTATTTATCGTCTGAGGGAATGCCTGTCTGTCAACTCCATGAGATCAAGGATTATATTTTTAATTGTTTCATGCACTGCCGACTCTCCCACACATAGAACACAGCCTGCCTGGTTCATGGCAAGAAATCAGTGTTTGTTAAATGCGTGAACTTGTTGTCAAAACATTACCTAGCATTTCCTGTGTGTGTGGTCGACTCATGAGTAAGATATGGCGCCCTTATTGGGGAAGGTCTTGCTAATAGGTTTACATTTAATATATTTTGAAAATTGTTTGAGTCTGACTTTTTATGCTTATATCTGAGTTCTAGAGGAGAAAATAATGTTCTTGATGTGCCAAATAAAACCTATTACAATGTGTTTTCATGAACAACGTAGTCCTTCTTTGAACACTATCTCCCATGGCGTATGTAAGCTGGAAGCAAGGGTTGGGCAAGAAGACTGAAGCAAGTGGGGGAATAAAAATTTTGATAACACAGAGGCTAAGGCAGAAGTCAAATTTCCACCAGACCTTGAGGGTTCCCATTCCCTAGTCCTCATTGAAAATTCCTCTCAAGACCCCCAGCTGAGAAGACTACCCTAATGTTAAATTATGCAATTATCCTGGGGTGCACGAGGCCCCATTGAACTAACACGCACACATAGTAAATCTCCTTTTTTAATATGAAATTAATAAGTTAATGGTGAGTCAGAGTTGGTGTAGCTCATTTTCAGGATTACGGTACGGAAAGTAAATACACTGCTGGGTGGGAATACATAGCTTCTGTGTCACTGATAGCTAATAAATTCCTTCCCATTAAAATTTAATTGAAAATCTTCACTGATATTTAAGCTTTCGCAGAAGTGTAAACTACTGTGACTACAACTCACAATGCATTTAAAACAATTATTCTTTATCATTAAAGTTAATAATATGCACATTAACCTCTTATGTGGGCTAAATCAATATTATAGTTTAAAAGATATGACCTCTGGACAGTTTTGTCTAAATATTGATTTCATTGTCATTTGTATAAGGTATCAAACAAATTACATGCTGCACTGATATCATTAACGCTGCCCTACAGAGCCTCTGACTTTCTGGGCTCTTTTAATACAGGACATGACATTACACAAGTGCAGAGGGCATCAGAGAACGTCATTGCCAAATGGACAGGATGGGACAGTGGCCGTGTTAGAGTCCCTGTAAACAGGGAATAACTTAGAAATCCTTTACTTTCAAGGGACAGAAGGAAAAAAAAAAAACTACAGCTCTTTAATATGCAGATTGGTTGTTGATGGGAAGTGTCAGATGACAGAAGTTTTGTGCCTTAGAGGGTCTGATTGACCTCCTGGTGATTCCAAATATATCAGGAGAGAAAGTAACTCAACGTGAGTCTGATTCAACGTGGAAAATCCTGCAATCAGTCAGATTTCCTGTGATTGGAAACTATGTGCAGAAGGGTGCATGGGCTGAATATTCCCAGTGGCCGTCATCGAATTAAACAAAAGCTAGTGTGGAGATGCCTGTCCCATTTTTCCTCTTCATTGGTGGCTATGGTGTTATTTTTGTTTTAAAAAAAGCTGCGAGTTAAAATGCCAGCTACATAATTTGCTTTTTTTCCCATTTTTTTCAGGCTCTAAATTACTATCAATCATCATGATTGCTCTCATTGTCCAGTGATATCTAACTCCATTTTGATATTGGTGGTTTCTTATTGTTGTTGTTTTTTTAAGTTTTAAAATTGTGTCTCCCCTTTGGCTGGCTGTAAAACTTTTGGGGGAAAGAGATGTGGCCATGCTGGTGAAGTGTGCCCCTGGGGAACTATGATACTAAAAACTGCACCCCCCAAATCTCTCCTAGGTAAAAGTGACCCGTTCTGTGTAGTGGAGCTCAACAATGATCGGTTGCTCACACACACGGTCTACAAGAACCTCAACCCCGAGTGGAACAAAGTCTTCACGTTGTAAGTGGCCTTGCCCGTGGCTTCATTGGAGGGCAGGTGTTCGGTTATATTTCTTGGTGAGATTGTCTGTGTGTGCACGCACACGTGTGTGGGTTTATTCTTCACGGAGTCGCATCTCCGTGCATCTGGGCTGCCTTAGCTAACAGCAATGAATTTCCTAACCTCCTAACCTTCCAGGGACTGAAACCTGTGGAAAGAGTGTGGTGGTGGGGGGTGCCATGTGTCTTTGTTTCCAGAGACTTTCAAAAAAAAAAAACCACTGTGCTTGTGCTTTTCTATGATTTGTGGAGGGGTTTTGCTCCCATCAACTGATTGGCCATACTGCTTCTTCCCTTTATACTTTCTTTTGAAATTCGTCCCCATCGCATTGACCCCAAGGGGACAAAGCTCTGTTTGTTCCATTGCTGAAATCAGGAAAGAACCCAGTCACCAATTCGGGGCAGATGCTTCAGTTTTGCCTTGTTTCATTTTAGCACAATAAGAATATTAAGTATTGTCCCGGAGACCCAAACACCCTTTGAGTTAATTTTTCTTTTGTTTTAAAGAGTTTGTGAATCTTCAGTCGTGCCCTGTTAAAGCTGCGGATGCTACCCCAGAGTGTCTCTCAGATTCCGTGTCTTTAAACTGGGCTTAAGAAATGAACAGGAAACAAAGAAAAACTCTCCCAACAGGAGGACTTCTTTAAAGTTTTCTAACATAGTGTAATTTTTTTGTATCAGAAAAAGTACTAAATTCTTCAGAAATTCCTTCTACTGCCTCTGTGTAAGAGACAGTAACTGATTAGCTTTCGTTAGCTGACCAATTTCACTTTAAGGGATTCCTCGTTTATGAAAGAAAAGCGTGGTCTGGAGACCGGTGCTCCCACGCGGGTTCTGAAGTGTGTTTTTCTCTGGGATGTGTCGTTGAATGAATAGATTTGATTATTATCAAAGCCATTAATTGATTGTGCCCTGATAAGCCTCTGCCCACACGGGCTTGGGCTTTTCAAAAATGAATATATTCAGGGGTTTTGTGTTTGTTTTCTCAATTCCTGTTTTCTTGGTAAACAGTGAGATCAAGGAATAAATGCTGTCAACAATTTGCGCTTATTTTTTCAGAAACAAAAATATGATGAGCTAGGCCAGTTGTTTATTAACATATATTGTCTTTGGACCCTAACGGAAGCTACTTGATTTCTAAATTCCAGGGTGGTACAGTAGCTGTAAACGTTACATTTTCTCCATTCTGTTTTCTGTGTTTGTTAAATTTTACTGTAAACCTAGCAGAAATTAAGTCAATGTTTTGGTGAGAGCTCTAAACAAAAACAAGATGTCCTATTATTATAAAAAAAAAAGAACAGTTATAAAAAAACAAACACAGTGAGTCCTGCTGATATCAGACCTGGTGGAAAATATAAACTATTGCCATAATGGTAACAAAAATTCTTAAAAAGATCAGTGCCATTTATTGATTTTTTTCCCAATAATTTATTCTGTGCCCATCCGGACAAGAAATTATATTTCCTTAAACAACAACAACAACAACAAAATACAGCTCGAAATGACCATAGTGTTCAAAGTTCTGGGGGATAGAACCTTTCATGCAGGTGACTAAATTGCATTCTGGGAAATTCTGTCAGCTACCAGGCTACCCTGTGCATATGTGTATGCAAATAACACACACACACACACACATATAAATCAGCTGGAGCTATCCAGATTTTCAAAACCATTCCAGTCCTTGTTTTCCACTGATGAATTTTTTTTTCTCATCTGTGTTTATTATGCAGCAATGTTAAAGATATCCATTCGGTTCTTGAAGTGACAGTTTATGATGAAGATCGGGATCGAAGTGCTGACTTTCTGGGCAAAGTCGCTATCCCATTGCTGTCTGTAAGTTTTATTCACCTGACACACTGTTCTGTTTTGCTTTTGCTCAAGGAAAAAAAAAAAAAAGAAAAAACCTCAGCTCTGTGTCTGTCATTTCTCAACCAAGGTCTGTAATAAGAACACTAAAAATTTTAACATACTCAATTCACGGCCATGTTGAATCCCATGATAGTTAATTTTTCCTGACAGACTTGATCCTGGTAATGAACAGGTACTTGTCAGAATTGCCACAGTTGTTTTGGGTTCTCTGTCAGTTTCAGCAGCTGGGGGTCAAAGGTCAGCGAGGGAGTGTATTCAGTGGAGACCGCGAGACAGACGGCTGTCATGTCCTTTTCCCGCAGATTCAAAATGGTGAACAGAAAGCCTACGTCTTGAAAAACAAGCAGCTGACAGGGCCAACAAAGGGGGTCATCTATCTTGAAATAGATGTGATTTTTAATGCTGTAAGTCTTAACTTTGGCTTTTTTGTACTGCTAAAGAGTTCAGTTTCATGAAAGCTTTTGTTCCTGATTTGTAGAGAATTTCTGTCATTCCTCATTTTCTCTAAACCTTGATGTATCCTGGAGATTACGCTTCTGCCACCGCCTGGCACACCCACACTTTCTGTGCGAGTCGGCCCCGGCCGCGGCCGGCTGCTCTGGCCGCTGCTTGCCGGGGAGCAGAGCGGAGTGCGTGCGTGTGCAACTGTAGACATTTATATTTTATGAGCGCAGCAGCCAGCACTTTGTAGAAATGATTGCAAATTGAACTGCATGAAAAACTTGTAAACATTTGTACTCTATTAGTCCATAACAGACACATGTGTTGATGTGTAGGTAAAAGCCAGTTTACGGACATTAATACCCAAAGAACAGAAGTACATTGAAGAGGAAAACAGACTCTCTAAACAGGTAAAAAAAAAAAAAAATGAGGCAAGATGACTCCCTCTGGGAAGGCCTGATTGAATCTGTAAAACATCTAAGTAAATTCAAATAAACTTCGGTGTGGTATGGGGGGAGGGAGACGGTGGATTTTTGATCATCTACTTATTGCAAATGGCTCTTTCTTCCTTTTTCCCTTTCTTGCTCTCTCCTCTCTTCCTCCCTTTCTTTGGAAGATCAAACAAGGACAATACCAAAGTAATAAGTTGGATGGGGGTGCCGAGGAAAAAAAGGGGATAGTGCAGGCACTGCGTATGCTGATTCTGTAGTCCTGTTAGCCAGAGAGTGATCATTTTGAACAGAAAATACAATTTGATTGCCATGGAATGTGTAAATGAGATCACCAAAGGCTGAGGTTCAGATGTGTGTGCAGACCACCCACAGGTATGCGGCAGGTGTGTGTAAAGCGAGCCCCTAGAGAGTTCTGCCTCTAAGCCAGAGGAGAGGGGCTCCCTCGGTTAAGGGAAGCCTTCCTGCTAATTAGATTTTAACCGTGATCTTTGAGAAGTGAACTTTTATTGGCATTTTAGCTGAGCAAACAGGAAATCCCGAAATCAGATTTTCTTCTACGATGAAGAATTTTTCAATTAAGCCTGATATACACCATGATAGTTTTAAATTAGATTTGATATCAAGTTGAGCACTAAGCTATCCCCCTTTTCTCTGTCCATTTAATAAAGTTAAACTAACATCTTTATTATGGATGGGAAATTTACTGGACTGATTTGTACCTTGGAATACTTAATGATTTTTTGTGACATTAGAGACCTGAAAATATTTTTGTTTTTCATCTAACAGACTCATTGTGAGCAGTGAGATTTTAAGGCAGTGCGTGAGTTACAAATGTAATACCAATCTAAATTGAAATACAAATTATATTTCTCCACAGTTAGAGAAAAATAATAAAAGTAGCTTTCCTAAGGAGGAAAACAAATAGGGAAGATTTTTACTTTGCCTGAAAGAAATTTCAGTCTTAGCAACCTGTTAAACTGGTGTGCACATTACTTGCGTCTGTACTAATCCATAGCTATTTTTTCAAGGTAAGACCTCAGTAAACTTATCGACTGCTTTAAAATACCACACCAGCATTGAAATTTGTATTTGGAAGAAGCAAAATACTAATTTGCAGATTTATTATTCTAACTATTAACACAGCTGCATGGAATTTTTGAACCATTGTCTAGTACAGGAGGTATTCTTTTTACAGTGAAGTCGTGTACAGTTTTGAAATTGAAATTGTATCCATTCTCATGTATCTTTTTAAACTAAAGATTACCTAAAGCTTTTGATCACCGTAGAATTTTCTCCAATTCCAAAAGTATGGAAAATAATGAAGAAATATAGAGTAATATGTGTATGTGAGAGAGAGAGAGAAGCAGAATGAGTGATAGGAAGAAATAGAGAAATCAAGCTAAAATGATGACAAAGTTTTGTTTTCTATAATAAAGTAATAATACTCCACAGGTTTCTAAGACCATAAATAAAAATATCCCAAGTTATCCATTTTACTTTTAAATATCTTGAAATTAAAATATTTAATGAATGTTAAAACCACAATATGATTTAAGTGTCTAAAATTAATGTGCTCTCAGTATGTAACAAAAAAAATTTAAATCTGTTAGAGATGTATTTTTCTTGCGAACAAAGGTTGTCCAACCTACATAACGCTATTTTTAAAACACATATTTTGGTAAGGAGTTGGTCTCAGAAGTCAGTTCTTTCTGCTTTCTCCAGAAATGCTTCTTTTCCTGTAGCTTGTGACTCAAATGCCTTGGGATGGCTTGCACCCTTATTAACTTTCCAAATCCTTTTTAATGCAAAATAAAGACTTTTGCGGGGTACCTGATGGTTTTTAGTTGTGCGTGCAAATTCTAATAAGAGTTGCATTTCCTTCCAGCTCCTCCTAAGAAACTTTATCAGAATGAAACGCTGTGTCATGGTGCTCGTGAATGCTGCCTACTACGTTAATAGTTGCTTTGACTGGGATTCACCCCCAAGGAGTCTCGCTGCCTTTGTGGTATGGTCACACTGTATTACTTACATTGGTATTCATTAAATTCAGTAATCGTGGCTGCATGTTTCTGTGGCTATAGTAACAGTTCTGTTGATGTGGCCATTTAAAAACTCCTATTTTGAGACTCGACTGGACAGATTTGCCGTGGGCAGGGACCTGATGGATTGCACAAGGTCTGAATCCAAGAATACTTCTCCCTCCCCTCAGATTTCCGGAACGCGAGACATCTCAGCCAATGTATAATTTTCTCTGTGACAGTTAAAAAGTGAAATTTTTGCATATTGCATAATTCCAGAATCCCAACAGGAGGGCCAAGAAAAGTCTCCAGGATGAAAAATAATAACAGGAACAGGCTTGACCATCCTCGGTGGGCTTTCCTTCGTTCCCTGGTTATTTTGTCAATCTATGAAAATCCTTGGCAGTAGAATGCTCGTTGGTCATGCTTTAATATGTGGGTCAATTGGGAGTGGAAGTGACCTATTTAAGAGATGGTTTAGTATTTCTGAGGTTTCCAGTTTTTGAAAAGTCACCGGTGAGCAGGTGATAGGTCCAAATAGCCCTCTAACAGTGTTCATCTTGCAGCCTTTTACTTTGATTATTCGAAAACTCATGATGAGACCTCCTGGCAGGGTTAGAAAATCCGAAAGAACACTACTTTCCTGTGAGCTTTTGCTGGAGTTTTCTGTTCTCCCGTTATTTTTGCTTATTAAGGATTTTTAGTTTGAAGTTTCAGTGGAGTCCTCCTTTTGAAATCTTTATTTTTGTGTTTGCTAGAATTATGAGTACCTTATGTTTCCTTAGAGTTGCCAGTTTGGCGAAATACGACTTTATTATGGGCACTTACAAGAAGAGCCTTAATTAGTAACAAATCAACATTTTAGTATTACCATTCAAATGAGGGTGTGCACATCTGTTTAGTACTTTGAGCTCTGTCTTCCTCTCACGCCTTGTATGGGACTTTCATTAATGTCTGAGCACAGGAACAAAGAGTGTGTATGTCCCTTTGTGTTGTAAGTTACCAGAAAGTTAGGCAGCCTGCTTCCCATAGCCACGTTGTTGTCTCCCTAAAGAAAGCAATTGTCATTATCATTAAGTTTTAGGGAAAAAAAAAATCTCCTTATCTCCATAGCCTGTTAGCAGCTCTCTCACATAATAAATATATCAGGATTCTAGTAAGAAGACTTTGTTCTGATTTTTCGCTAGCGAGATGCACTTTGTTGTTTATGAGAAAAAATGATATTGAATCTCTATGTATAGTCTCTGTGTATATTTTGCGTCATTACTTCCGGGTTCTGTGGGGTCTTAGAAGAGTGGGAAAATTCTACTCAAAAGATGATGCTGCCATTTTCGATTCACTCCTTCTGAGTCATTCCCCACAGCTGTTTGTGAAATCTGAACACAGAGGAATGTACAGATGTGCTTTATTTGCCCAGGAATATTCGGTTTGAACCCTTTAGCAGTAACAGTGTGTCGTGTAAGTCTTCGTAGAACTTGTGACTTCTGGCGCTCCCTCGGGTCAGGGGTGTTCAAGATGGCCGCCTAGCCCCCCTCCCCCTTTCATAATTTCCTTCTTGTTCTTAAAAAATAAACAAAAACCCATCAGATGCCAGAATTCTGGGAAACTTGCATCCATGTACATGGTACTTCTTGAGTGACCACCGGAAGAGGCAGATTTCGCTAGGGATGAAATGGGATCGTGTATATCTCTTAGTCGGTGGTCAGATTCAAGCCTGTGGCACACAGGCCAAATGTGGGGGCTTGCAAAACCTGGGAGCCGGTCGGCAAAGGGTGTGCTGAGCCTGCTGGTGGAAGCAGGCTGCCAGCTGCAAAGTGAACACAGGTGAGGAGGATTTCTGAAGCAGTAGCATCAACTGCTGCGTTGGGGAAGAGCCCTGAGTCACATTCTCCTGAATGCGATTAAAACAGTGAACAAGGGAGCCAGACGTCATTGATGTAGATCTGAACTGGGAGTTCATGAAGATGGGAGCCCCATCTCTGGGCCTCCGGTGGCACCTGCACTTAGTAAGTGCCCCCTACAACAGACATCTGGGTCTGCTGACCAATCCATCCATCTGAAAAGGTTTCCTTTGGGGGAGAAACTCATTCTTGAACGATGCCGGATCAATCAGGGCCTACTGTAATAAAGCTAGTTATTAAATCATAATAGACATAGCTTCACGCTATTGTGTCATTTTCCCTGGAGTTTCTTTTTGAATTCTAAACTCTTTCATAATCCTTTGTCAATCATCTGTTTTAACCTCAGGTTAAATTCTGACACAAAAAAAATGCTTCTGTAATAATAACAATAGTCATTAGGTACTTACTATATGTGTCGAAGAACTGTTTATCATGCATTAATGAATTTCATGTCCCTGACAACCTTATGAGGTAGATGCCAGTATTTTCTCGGTACACAGAGAAAGAAACCAAGGCACAGAGAAGTCAAGTTCCTTGCAGAAGGCCACACAGCATTCTCTCCTCCCTTATAGGAGCTTTTAAAATATACGCCTTAGATTTTTAGTGTCTCCACAATACAGAGCAAAAGCTACTGTGGGATTTTTATTAATCTTATAGATATGGAGTGACATATTTTAAAATTAAAGGGATCAGCAATCTCACTGCCTATCCAGAGCCTTTTGGGGCCAGTTTACTGGAAAGAACTGCTTTCCACTAGGAGAAATGTGTGCACAGCACCCCATTGTCACAGACATATTGTCCTCGTCACTCCCCGTTGATGGCTCATGGGTCTATTATTATAATATTGGGTCCACTCGGCCCACTCTGTCATCAAGGCAGCCTGCCTCCCACAGCGCCTGCATTTGTATATTATGCAACTTGGTCCTGGGCCCAGAGCAGTCAACTGTGTAACGTGTAAGGGCCGGTTTTTAATTCCGTTTTACTTTTGGCTTTTCTGATTTACTGTCCAAAAAAAAGCGTGTAGAACAATGAAATCAAAAGAGAAAACAAAAAAAAAAATTTTTTTTTTTTGGTCCATTGTCCATGAAGGCAGAGAGCTCAAGAAATGCAGGCTAAGCACAGGCCCTGTCTCCTTAGCGCCCCCTATGTGCTGGGGAGGGTATCTCAAGCCTCGTAGTGGGTCTGCAGGTATGGGATCAAATATGGGCAAATACATTTCTGGAATGTTCTTGTTATTGTGGGCAGTGAACTAGGGCTTTATGTTTTATCCTAAATCTTGGCCTAGAAGCGAATACAGCCATGTGTGATACAGGAAGCCTGTTCATCTTCGAGAATCTTCTATTGTGGACATGGGAATGTGTCCTAAATTGGACCTAATTTTCATCAGGCTCTTGACCAGACATTTGTGTTCTTGTGGATGTCAGTGGGTGCAACATGGAAAAAAAAATAGAAGCATGTACATTCCCCCTTTCTTTTCAGCATGTCATTTCTCACTATAATGAGCGCAGAAATAATTGGACAACTGAACTATCAGTAAAAGGACACACTTCAGTGTGCGTCAGAGAATTATTTTACAGGACAAACTTTAATCTTTAAATGTGATTGTAGATAATTTGTGGTACCATCTGTCCATTTGGAATTGTTTTAGCCTTTTCTGTCGTTATACAGTAAGTGCCGCTGTGTTTAACATTAACATTTGATATTTTACACATTTCATTTCTGTTCTGCTGTACGGTCCTTGGGGAGTGGCGCGCTGGTGCTACATGAGAGAGACAAAGTATTGATCAGTTAACATTTCAGCTACATTTATGTATGTCGCAAAATTAATGAAAATGCCAGACAAAAATGTCAGAGTGCGCAAAAAAGGTAGAATTTAAATTTGGTACCTTAATGAAAAGTCTTAAGATGTGCATTATCAAAAATGTCCTCTTGCCTTTCAAGTAGAATTTCTAACAGAATAACTGAAGGGGGCCACATATTTTACTTAGAGGAACAATGAACATGAATTATGAAGAGATGTCAACTCCTGAGAAGTACCTTGTGTTCCAAAACGGCGTGTTTGAATGCTTAAGTCTGAAGTCATAAAATCCATTTGTTTCTGTTCCTGTCTGGAGAGCTGCTGGCTTCATCCCTCCCTTCTGACCAGCCCAAGAGGCAGGCTTCCTCCGGAGAGTCTCCCTCTAGCTTTGCCTTGGTGTCCGTGTGCGTGTGCGTGTGCGTGTGTGTGTGTGTGTGTGTGTGTGAAAACCAAGAATTCCCTCTGCAGCAGTTCGTCGGGACCACTCTGGTTCATTCCTCGTTCCTTTCTGGGTCCTTTGCTAATGCCCAGTTTCCCTTTGCTTCCAGAGAATTTATGCTTTACCTTCATTCAAGCTGCATTTTAGAAAAGGAGCACGCTTGGGACAGCAGCCACCCGGCAGAAAAGCCGGGCGATTATGCGGGAAGAGAGAGAAAAAACAGAGATGTATGCAAAGAATGGCACGAGGCAGCTCTGTGTAGCTAAATGATTGTTTTTTGAAAATGGGGGAGGCACTAGCGAAAGAGGAGAAACTGGGCTTGCAGAGGCAATGAGAATACAGCACAAGGACTGGAAGACAATAGGTTCTTAAGGACGCCTTATTATAGACTTCCTGTGTAGCAAGTGTACTGCTATTGAACTACTTATGGATTTTTATAAAAATTATTGCAAACCAGAGAGACATTTTAAGTAGCCCTCGTGGTCAAGGTCTAAGGAGAGTATTGCTTAAGAAGAAACGGTAGTGGAAAACAAAGATGGGTCTCCATCACCTGTAGTTCAAGTGCTAGCATTCCCATTGCTGAACAATGAGGTGCAGGGTAATTATACTGGATAAACTGAAGGTCAGTGTGAGTTTCTGTCCGTCAGAAATTACTGTTCTGAAAATTTAAGGGCCGTCAGTAATGCCTCACCAGCAAAATTTATGCTTCAAGTCAAGGGCAATTTTTAAATAATTTTTATTCTTGTGGAAGCTGTTTGGTATTATTGCTACAATAGTTTCAGAAAAGCCAGAATATGAAAAACTGTATGTTCTAAATACGTTTTTGTTGCTTTCCACACAAGAGCAAAG